ACTAGGGTGCTCTTTGGCGTTTCTTGCTGCTCTCGTGATTGTTCTGTGTTTGTGCAAGGCCGACTCGAGATGTTGACTCAGAGCTTCCTCCCCACAGAGCGCGCTCTCGCACGCCAGGCAGTGGTACGAGCCGCTGCCGCCACTGCCACCGCCGCCACTGCCGCCGCCACTGCCGCCGCCGCCCGTGGGGACGTGAAGCACCATCTCTTGCAGGTTCACCACAGACTGGCCGAAGAAGCAGAGGGACTTCAGGTGGCTCCTCGCCGCCTCCTCGTCACCGAAGCCCGCCTGGCACTTGCGGCAGACCAACTTGTACTGCACCTTTGGAACAATGAAGGGGTCGTAGAGGGAGTCCGCACTTTTGCTTTCTGCTTCTGGCTCTTCGGGGGGTTTCGGCAGGAGGGGGGACACCTCACGGGGTGCGTTTTTCTGCTCTTCTGGTTTGGGGGATTCTTTGGCAGGGTCTTTGTCTGGGGAAGCAGCCCCCTGGGGGACTGGGGTTTGGCTTGCTTTGGGCTGCTGCTGCTGCTGCACTTTCTGCTGCTGCTGCTGCTGCTGTTGCTGCTGTTGCTGCTGTAGTTGCCGCTGCTGCTGGATCGCCTCCTGCAGACTCTGCTGGTATTGCTGGTACTGCTGCAGTAGGGAGCCCGGGGACAGCCCCATCAGGGCCTGCGACAGCGCAGGGCTGTAGGGGAACAGGCCTTCCATGCCATACATAGGCTGCAGGTACCCGCTCTGCAGGGTGCCAGGGATCGTGGGGGGCGTAGTAAGGAGAGAAGCCTGGTACAAAGTAAGGGAGGAACTGGCTTGTGAGCAGCGCCGTGGGGTCCGACGTCAAGGCTGCCTGCAGGGCCTGCAGCTGGGCGGGGTCCACGGCGTACTCCATGGCTGGCAGCGGTGCTGAGATGGTGGCGGTGGCTGCCGTGGGGGCCTCTCCTTTCTCCTTCTTGGGGACAGGCAGGGGTTCCCCTTTCCCTTTGTGTGCCTTCTCCTTCTCCTTCACCTTCTCACTGTCTTTGTCCTTGCGTTGCTGTTGCTGCGGTTGTGGCGGGAGCTGCGGCGCGGGGGGTGGCTGGGCTGCTGGCAGCGGCGGCTGCACCTGTGGCTGCTGCTGCTGGGGTTGGGGGGGTGGCTGAGGGGCCATCGCCATGGTGGCTTGTGCTGGGGTCGGGGAGCTCAGCGATGCTGAGGACGGTTTATTTGGTAATCCAGATGTGGGGAGGCCAGGGGAAGGAACTGTTGTGCTGGGCAGACCCATCAAGTTCGGTTTAGGAGACGTTAAAGCTAACAAAAAGAATGGAGACAGAGAAATGACACGTCAGTCTGGGGCAGTGAGGCTGAAGCTCAAGACGTTTCACCTGCGTCACTGGCACAGCGTCTAAGAACTCAGGGTTTGAGCTTGAAGGATCCTCTCAAAACCCACATGTTCAACAGAGCTGTACCGCCAGGCTCAGGGTTGGAGATCCTGTATTCTAACCAGGACCCAGCCCTGGGTCAGCTCCCATGCTTCCCCATCAACGACTTTCAACACCTTCCAGCCCAGCGGGCCACACCCATCCTACTCCTTCATATTTTCTCTGCTGCGCTCCCAGGTACCTTCCTCTCTGCCCAAGGCAATTAGTCTGGTGGCCCCCAAGCTAGCTGTTGCCAGTGGGACCCATCTGAACCAATGGCCTTCATCAAAACCCGCAGAAATACTACAGGCAAGAGGCCCCACCAGAAGTTGTCCAGAGAAGAGAACACAAAAGCAAGAAACCCAACCAGCCACCAAGGCCACATGAACAGATACGACAGGAGGTACTGGTGTGCTGCCCTGACCTCCACTGCTGAGACCTAATGGACATGTTAGAAGGGCAGAGATGGAGGAGGAATGGGAGCAAATAAAACAGTCCATTCAAGGAAAATAGTTCTATTGCTTTGGCTCAGTTCATCAACTTTAACAAATCTGTTGAAAAATGTAACCATCTAGGAATAGCATTCTGTAGTCCACTGGGAAAATGAGCATTTTCTTCTCCTGTCCCTGTCTGAATGACATACAGGAACGTTAGGGTTGTAGGCAGTTGAGAAACCGGCCACAGGAAGAGGAGAAAAGGAACGTCCGAGATGGAACGGCCCAAAGTGCTGGCACCAGCAAGTCCTAGGATGCTGCCACCTGCCCCGGGCCCCACTGCTTATGGGCAGTAGACCATGTCACCAGCTCACATGGGGTACAGCCCCATCTTCAGTCACACTCAGGCCTCATCTATCACTACCTGTAAAGCCTTCACCCAGCCCCTAGCCTCACATCCTCCCTGACCCATAGCTATCTCCTGGTTTCTTTTTTGTTCCAGGGTGATGGAAGGTGGCGTTGCTGCTGCTTGTACATGAAGCTGCGGGTGCGTCCAGATTAGCAAGGTGGTGGGGGACACCAGCACTGACCACATCCCAGACACCAGACGCTATACGTCCCTTCACTTCAGAGGACACCAAAATGTAAAGTCAGAAATCCCACCGTCCCTGTTTCATCTGGACCCCCTGCTGCAGCTGGGGTGGGCCTTCCAAACAAGTCACTGTGCTCACGAGAAAAACCACTCTGAAGCCTAGACTTAGGCGAAGACAGTGTTGATTTCCCGCTCTAGCAGGTGCAGTGTCCCCGGGGCTGTCACACTGCATTTAAACACCCTTAAATTTCAGATGAAGAGAACAAGGTTGCCTCCATTTGCCAATCTCAGAAAAAAACACAGATACTCGAGGATGCTTCCCTCGGCATCACATAACATCATTAATTTACTCTTCCAAAACAGCAGAAAGGGACTGCTGAGATTAAGTCATCCAGTTTCCTCAGTGCACTTCAGAGACTGAAATCAGAGGAGATATGTCTGATTTACAAGCAAATACTCAGTAAAAGCTCACTGGTTGCAGTGGCACAAACGAGGCAGAGACAGAACAGATTATGAATTCTAAACTTGGGATATGTCCACCTCTAGGCAGCAGGCCTGCTCCAAGTTTTAGGTTGGAGCCAGAGCCAAATTATCAGTGGGGTAGGGAAGGAATGCCTGTTCATCTCCCATCCAAATGGTGTCATGCTCTCAGGAGAAAGATCCAGGTCAACTAGGTCTTTAACTTTCTGTATTTTGAAGTGACAGTGCACAAAAGAGATTTAAATTATAAGAAACATTTACCGAACCTCTGCTATTTACCAGACTCTGCACTAGCCATGTTCGGTCAAGTAGCTCAGTACTTTGTCATAATAATTCTGTGGTCTTGGTTTTCTGATCTGGAAGATCAGAACCAAACAAGGCACTTCGTCCCCTTGAGGCTGAGTCATGCACTCCTGGGGTCAAACTGCTGCGGAATGGATTGTGGCTGACATATACCCGCCATGTGACGTTGGGCCAATGAGTTGACTGCCTGGAACCTCAGCTGTCCACAGCAGATGGATGCAGGGATTAAATGGAGGGTCATATGGATAGAGCTTACCATTGGGCCTGACATAACTACCTGATTCCAGATCCAGTGCTGCTGGGAGCTGCAGTACAGTCAGGTGGTGCTAAACTGGGGCACACCTGGCTGCTTTGAATGATTAAGAGTGTATCCTTCTACCTTGAGTCCACTTTAAGTGGCCAGAGCCTGAGTAGCACTAAATATATACCTGTTGACTGGCTCATATTGGGTGTTGTGGAAGGAGACCATAGCACCGGGAGCCCAGAGGCCTGGGTAGGAGCTCTGGCTCCGGCCCTAGCCTGCTGAATGGTCTTGACCTCTCTGGGCCTCAGTTTTCTTATCTGTAAAACAAGGGGGAATAGATCAGACATTCTGATTCTAATTTTTTCACCTTACTATGAAATATTGGACCTTCCCAAGCCCTGCTGCCAAGGTCCAGGGCTGCAAGGATAATTCAGTGCCTGGCCACTTTCCATAGCTGTTGCTTGGCTTATGTCTAGCTGGCTTTTAGCATCATTCTGTGAGATTACTTGCCAATACATATAAGCAATGACTTCTACATCTCAATGCTTTCTTTTCTCGTTCTCTCTTTGGATGACAAACTGGGATTAGGAATGAAGTAACTTCACGTTCTGTACAACACTGAGAATTATCAAACTTGAATCTAATTTACCCAGAAACCAGGACGACTCTGGGAAGCAGGAGGACTGCTTCAACCTCTGGGAACAGGGACACTTTTTGCAGGCAAGGAGGCGCTTTGGGGAGCTCTCCGTTGGTGAACATGCACTATCTGTGAGGGGGTTTGCTAACATATGCCTAAGTCTCACAGATCCTGGAGTTGAAGCTCCAATTTAGGAGAGACAGCTGGATTCAGAGAAGACAGGTGGGGATAGGGGAGGAGGAACAAGAGAGGCACACAGGAAGAACTGCGCAACTCCCTCTTATGTGGAAAAGTAAGTACCAAGTACATGACTCTTGAGTTGGGGGAAGAGAAGAAAAGGAAATGGGCAGAAGGAAATGAGGAGGTGATTGAATACCCCTGAAAATGACCATTAACATTTTTTGTCTGTCTGGAGAACTAAAACATGTCAAAATTTATAACCGCATTATCCAATACAAACAAGTTCCTGGTCAGTGCATTCAAGTACAATGGCAGTCTCATCAGAAACTAACACAGCACTTGTTTCTGGCTGAGAGAGAACCTCAGGAGTAAGGAGAGCTTCTTCCCGGGAGCACCTCTCCCTCCAGAGCAGCTCTCCAAAAGAGGCGGTGGGACCATAGGTGAAGGCAAAGAGCTGATTTAGATACTCTGGAACCAGTGTCCATAGGACATGATCCAGAATTAACTAGGGTGTTCAAATGTTTTGTATTTTCAACAAATACCTGGATGGGACCTGTATTTCCATCAGGACTGAGTGGGAGGGTCCATGATGGAAACGTCTTTCTTGAAAATACCCCAGGATCTAGTATGCCAGGACCCTCACGTTCATGCCTGTAGCACACAGCCTGGCTGTGCTACTGAACACCAGGAATGAGAATGGTTTTAGGAGGCTTTTTTAACCACAAGGTCCCATCCTTGAACTGGGAAGTCAGAGTCACATGCAGCACAGCTCTAGGCAGCCTCAATGGGAGGGACTTGAAGTTTTACTGCTGTTAGAGAGCTAGACAAGGGAAGCTTCCTATCTGCCCTGCACTCAGAGGCCTTGTGCAGGAGCCACAGAACAAGTGTGAACTGGGTGGCTGTGTAATACCGAAAGGATCACCGAGAGCCAAACCCACCTGTGTTGGATGGAGTGAAACTTGGCAAGGAGGGGCTGTTGAGGCCGGGGAGCAACACAGGTGGGATGCCCTGGAGCGCTGGGTATGCTGTAGGGAGGTTGAGAGCCTGAAGAGGGGCGTTGTCAAACATCCCTTGCTGCTGAGCTGCCAGTCCGAGGACCTCATTGGCCTTTTTAATCCGGTCCAACTCTTGCTGGGCCATCAACTGACGTACAGTGGCTGGGTCAAAGTATTCTTTCTCCTTGTCCAGCTGGCTTCCGATGGTGTCTTTAACTTTGGAGATATGCTGTTGGGAAAAGATATGGTCACGTACAGACAGCCGAGCGCTGTACTTGATGCCACACAAAGTGCACTCTGTCTTGGGTCCCTCGTAACTTGTTTGGTTTATACCAAAATGCTTGGCCATGCTTAACTTGGACTTCTTCTCTTTTGCCCGGGCATTCTGGAACCAGACCTGAACAACTCTCTTTGGCAGTCCAATGTCATTGCCCAGGACCTCACACTCCAGCATAGTGGGTGTCCTGTAGTCATTAAAGCATGACTTAAGGACCTTCAGCTGCAGATTGGTCATCTGAGTGCGAAAACGCTTCTGCCCGGGCCGATCCCCGCCGTCTCCAGATTTGCCGGCTGACCCGCTCGCACCAGGGCTCGGGGAGCAGGGGTCTGCAAGGCTCGAGGTTTCACTGTAGTCCACGGTACCTTCATTGTCATATTCCTTGCTGTAGAAGCTCGGGGCTGGGCTGACCAGACCAGATGACAGCCGATCCTCATACTCAGACATTGCCATCATGGCCGCTTTGGTCAGCCCTTCGCTGGGCGCAGAGGAGGATTTGGTTTCTGTCGCTATTCCCGTCGCACTGTCGTTATCCGCGTTGCCCTCATCTCCGGTAGTGGTGTCTGTGATCGCTGTGTTGACGGAGGAACAGTCGTCGTTGTCCAGCTTAGTTTGGTCAAAGTTCAGATTCACCGAGGACATGGAGGGGCTTTCAAAATCTTCGATCCCTTCCACCTTGATGGAAGAAGGGCTAAGAAGAGTTCTGGGAGACAACTCCATGGTTTTGCTCACAGGTGAGAGGGGAACGCCTTGGCCATCACTACTGCTTGGGGGTAGGTGGGAGAAGCTAGTTCCATCAAAAATATCTCCTTTCATCTGGAGTCCCCCATCGCAGTCTAAGAGCATCGCGGACAGCGTTAGGTTGTAGCCTGCTCTCTTGGCTTCGTGCCAGTGACGGGACCGGATGTGAGCCTCCAGGGCAGTCTTGGCTTTGAAGAGCGCTCTGCAAAAAGGGCATCTCCTGTGGGCCTGTGCTGGACCCACCGCCCGGAACTGTCCTTTCCTTTCCCGGGCTCGGGTGTTCTGAAACCAGACTTGTACCACACGTTTCTTCAAGCCCACCTCATGTGCAATGTGATCCAACATCTTTCGAGTTGGATTGGAGTCCAACAGATACTTTTGGTAGAGAATTTCCAGCTGTTCCGGTGTAATAGTTGTCCTCAAACGCTTGTCTCTCTGAGGTTCTTCGCCTCCCGTCCCGCTGTCGTTCTCGCCAGGGCTCGCGCTGGCCTTCTCCTCCAGCTTCCTCTTCAGAGTGTTCATCGTGGAGGTCGGGGTGGAAGGGGAAGTGGCCGAGCTTGCTGGAATCTGAGGTATGGCCCCGGAGAGCAGCTGGCTGGCCAGGAGGGGGTTACTAGGGTCAAACAGCATGAAAGGCATATCCAGTGACCTGTCCAAAAACTGAGGGTGGATGAACTGGTTCTGTGCACTCAGGAAGTGCAGCTGCTGATGCTCCTGCCAGTGCTCAAATGATGGAAACGCCAACTTACACTGGTCACACTGGTAGGGGATTAGCTGAGGAGGTAGGTTGGCCAACTGCTGCGGAGTTGACGTGTGGAGGGGCTTAAGGGGCAGGTGGGAGAGCTGGGAGGGGCTGGGGCTTGACTGGGGTAAGGGGCACTGAGGCGGGGGCGCCTGTGGAGGAGCCTGCGATAATGAAGCCGGGGACGTCAGCGGCGGGAGCTTTGGCTGAGCTGTGTTTGACTTCTGCTCCGGCTGGTCTTGCTGCTGCAGCTCTACCTTTGGTTGTCCTTGCTTTTCTTGGGTTTGGTTTGGCTGTGCACTGGGGGGTTCAGCCTGCTTTGGTTTCTCATCACTCGCCTCTGGTTTTGAACTGAAGGTGGCCAGTTCGTCAGCCTCTGATGTGAGCTGCAAGAAAGCAGAGGAAGCCGTGTTGGCTGATGGTGCTGGGGCGCTGTAAGCCTGTGAGGGCATTGGGGTGCTGCAGGAGGAGCTGGTGGGCGTCAGGATTTCCATGGCATCCATGGAATCCTCGTTTTGGCTGTCATCCTGCCCCTCCTCATCCTCATCCTTGTAACACAACTTCTTCTGGTGCTTGATAAGATCAAAGATGCGCTGAAACACCAGGCTACATTTTTTGCACTGGTAGTTCAAGTTGCTCGTTCGAATATACCTATCGTTTGTAAGCTCACGCCGCTCGCCATCTTTGCCCTCTCCCTGATTCTCATAATTTTTTCTGGCCTTCTGTCGGGCATTTTGAAACCAGACTACGATGACGCGGGTTGGAAGGTTCAGTAAATTAGAGAGTTGCTCAAATTCATCGTCCTTTGGGTAAGCGTTGGCATCAAAGAAGTCCTGCAGGACCCTCAGCTGGTAGTCAGTAAACCTCGTTCTCGAAGACCTCTTGCTCCCCCAGTACTCCTGCTTCTGAGGTTCTGGCGAAGGGGGCCGGGAGTCGATCTTGAGCTCCTCCAGGCTGGTGATAGGAGGATTGCTGAAGTTGTAAGGGGAGTCCTTGTTACGCTGCCGCTCTTTGAACAGAGTGTTTCTGAACCAGTGCTTGATCACTTTCTGGGGCAACCCGGACTTGTCTGCCATCTCTTTGATCTGCTCTTCACTGGGGGAGTTGTTAATGTCAAAATACTGCCGCAAGACTCGGAGCTGGTCATCCGTGATCCTGGTGCGAGGCCTCTTGTTCTGCTGCTGGAGCAGACTGGGATTGAGCTGATGCTGGTACAGCTGGGCCAGGTCCGCAGGCAGAGGCTCCACAGGTCCGAGCTGAGGGGGCAGCTGAGCCGGCAAGGTCTGCAGTGGCATCGTCTGCATCATCAGCGGCGAGA